GGGTACTTGTGTTGGCTATATTTCAGTCAAAGTAAAAAAGAATATTTTTTATATTAGGTGTTGGTCCTACTTGGGTTCTTTCAATAAATTTTGTTTTTCCAACCCACATGATCCCAATGAAGCAAATTATCCCTGATTCTTTCTTAAGTAAATTCAGTCACATACATGTGATGAAATTGTATGCAGCCATTAATAAGATACTTTAAATAAACCAGACAAAACTTTGATGATGTAAGGAGAAAGTGGGTTATAAAGCAGTATGTGTACAGGATGATTCATTTTTTTTAAATCTGAGAGATTGAAGATAAAAGGGACTTATTTGTGCACGCTTCTCTTACTTTGTAACAAACACGTTAACGAGTTAACCCTGTCCAGTCTGTCCCGGCTCATGGAGCCCTGGTGGGCGTCATAGCATTGTGCTCCATTAGTTTCCTTCTTTCCAACTTTGGTGTGTTGACGCTATCACCAATTCAGCTGTGTCTACAGGGACAACTCAGTGTACTTGTTACACTGAGGGGTGCCACCATGCTCACTCCTTTATGACGTTTCCTCCCCCATTAACACAGCCTTGCCACCCTCTCAGCTTCCTTTCTACTCTCTGGCATTGCTGCGGTCAGCTTGAACCAATAACTGGCCATAGATAGCATAGTGCTCAGGGCAGTCGTTGATGAGGTAAGCCACACTATCATTTGCAGGTAAGGTTTCAGGCATTTGTTGGTTTCAGTTCTAAAGGAGATCTATACTAACTAAACCAAGAGCTCTAGTTCATCCAACCCCTAGGACCCCGGAAAGTCCAGAGACCTTGAGCATTTGAAATTCTCCTCTGCTGTTTTCCCTCTTTTGATCAGGGTTCTTCTGGAGAATCTTTGGTCCCAGTGTTCAGTAACGGTGGCCAGGCCCCTCGGGTCTCTGGTCTCTGGGCCAAGGAGGCCCTTGGTCGTGGAGACCGCCAGCCACCCCTCCATGTCCTCTTCCTTTTCCTGATGCTCCTTCCTCGGTTGCTTGGGGGGCCCAGAGACCAATTGTACCTTGAACTGGAAATTGTACCTGCAGGCTTTTCGGACCCCATGCCCTAACTGTCTGAACTAGAAGGGAGAGCTGAAGTATCAACGTCAACCTGCTACGAGGCCAGGAAACGGGGTGTCCCAGGAAAACCACCCTGGGCCTCCATGACATCTTCGGTTGTATGTCATGCTCAGCCTCAGTAGCTGTTCTTTTGTTTTTGGTTTGGGTCATTGTTGCACATCTACTTATCACACAATTTTTGTCAGATTCTATGTTCTATAGGTATAAAGCTTGACAGCAATTACAATAATGAGCTGTGCAGTCCGACCCGTCATCCATGTGACGGCTCTCCCACCGTTCCCTGCTCCCTCCTCCCTTCCTTTTGTCTCCTGCCCCTGGTAGCCACTGAAAAACTTTGATCTCTGAACATCTACCTTTTCTTTATAAGTGACGTAATAGGAGTATTTGCAATTGACTTTTTCTCTCAGTACAGCGTCTTCAGCCTCCATCCATACTGTGCCAGGCATCAAACGTGTGTTCTTCCACCACCTGAGCAGGACTGCTGGTCTGGAAGGGGGCCACCAGCCCACCTCTGGGCAGAATTGTACCTCCCGCTTTTGATAGAACCCCAAAGGATCCACCAACTTGTATTTAAACAGTCCTTTATAGTATGGGACTACGACTGCATATAACTCTGTATCTGATCGTTCCTTAATTCTCTGCATCTCTGGAAATAACAAAAACCCCAAATTCATCCACACTAGATTGAGTAGCCTACTATGAAAGTTACAAAGGCGGAGTGCAGGGAAGATCATTTCCTAGCTGTTAGGTAGAAGACAGATTTCTCAGAATCATGCTCTACACCACCACCCATCTCCCCGGACCTACCTTCAACAAGTCCTGTGTGGCTGACTCACCTTCTGCCTAAGGCCAACTGTGGCCCAGGTTTTTTTCTTTTCAATAACCCTAGGCTGTATTTCTGTTGTTCATTTTTTTCTGAAAAGAGCCCTTCCCTCTACCAACTGAACCTTTCATTGTGTTTCAGTGGACACAAAAGACCTCTGTCAGGGTTGTAGGAGTCTTTTCTGCCCTCACCCATAGAATGGAGTAAGTAATCAGTAAATTTGATAAACGCATCAGTCCTAGAGTGAGGCAAAGAAAACTGGGAAGGGAGGAGGCTCCAGGCTCCGAGTCCCCTCTCTGGGGACAGACGTCTACACAGACTGAAACAAAATGATGGGTTTCCTGAGGCCACAGTTCTCAAGTGGGGGGCTTGTGCAAGGTCCCCATGAGATAGATCTCCAGGATGGCCCTGCATAAACCTTCCTCCCACCATAGTCAGTTCAGACCTTCAGGAACCCTGCCTGAAACAATCTCTGAAAACGAGGTTTAATGTAAGTCACACAGGGGGCCCTTTCTAGGGAATCGAACAACTTGCGTTCACACCTCAGCTTGTCCAAGTGCTAATGTTGACCTTGGGCGCTCTTAGGGGTTTCAGTTCTGTCATCTCTCAGGTTCTCATTTCCAAAGTATTGAACACGCACGAAGTCCTTGGCACTGAGCTGGGTCGGTACTAATGATGAACAGAAAAAATCCCCGTCCTGCATAATAATAGTCCGGTCAAAGGAGGTAGAAAAATAAGTAGTGTACCGGTAAGAGGAGGAAAATGGGTAAGAAGTTTTGGACACCTGAGATTCCTGTGGACCACTGCTGTCCCACACAACTTCCCAGGGTGCTGACAGGCTCTCTGTGCTGGACAATAGTCAGCAGCTACCCCTGCCGATTGAACACCTGCAATGTAGCTAATCCGACTAAGGAACTACGTCTTCACTACATTTTATCAGTCACTGTGGCTGGTGGCCATCGTACTGGTACAGGACAGCCGCAGCCCATCCAAAAGATGCCCAGAGAGGGAGGTAGGAAACATTTGCCTAGCGACGGAAAGGGTTTAGGAATTGTGGAAGACCCAAGTGTAAAGCTGTGACGTTGTGAGAGCCGGGCGTGGGGCGCACGGAGAGCAGGCAGGGGATGGAAAGCAGCATGGTCCTCGGAGAACTGTTACGCTCCAAGCATGCTGGGGAGTTGTTTTCAAGCACGCTGCATGGGCACGTGTGGAAAATTCGCATAAACTATGACAGTACATCGTCAAAGGGGGGCGGGTTGGTAAAAGCAAACACTGGCACTTCCCACCATGGGATCCATGCGGCATAAACAAGCGTGAACAGACTGTTTACTGATGCGAGGCTGTCTCCAGAGACAACCACCCCTGCAATGTGTTGCCCTTTGGGCACAAAGGACAGTGACTCGCAAATATTTGTTTGCATTTTAAAACCACTGGGAAGAATAGAAGCGGCTAACTAGAGGAGTGAGGTAAAGTCAGGGAACAGGGTAAGGGCATACCTAGAAACAGGCTTTAAATGTACTCTTAAAAAAGTTATTTTGAATCAGATGATGATTTAAAATTTCTCCTATGTGATAGAGGGAAACATACATGGGGCCAAAGGCAAAAAGTAAGGAAGATTTAGATTTGGTGAGGTTTATTCCTGCTGAAGATTTGAGTATCAGTAGTATCGAACCACAACAATTTAAAGATCGAGGGGCCCAAGTGTATTTTTACAAACAAAGTCTCCATTTTCTGAACAGCCTGTGAATGTTTTCACTTCAGAGCCACGGGTGCATACCCAGGCTCGAGAGCCAGTTCGCTGACCCCAGTCACGGGCTGTCACTGCTCTGGGCCCTCGACATGGACTGCGTACATTGCATGGTGGTTGCTCCAATTACAGTCAGGTCCAAATGTGGCGCCTTGTCAATGACCCCCCTCTTGACCCAATCAATCATAAGTGCCCCAGTTTTCAGTATCTTGTTTTTATTTTTAGCTTTCATGTATTATTTACAAACAACCAGTAAGTATGCTATAAAGTTCAACAGCGCGTGATCCAGTTTTCGGAGGTTGGCCTTCTTACAATGCTTCTCGTGTTTCACACATGAACTTAAGCATCCCTATTTCTTAAGCCGTTGGTGTCTTAGGTGTAGCAAGTCCAAACCCAAAACACGCGCTCATCAAAACCAGTAACCACCACTTTTCTTCCACAGAAAACGGCAAGTTCTCCCCAGAACCCTCATTGTGGCTCCTTCGGACCAGAGGTGGTCACCTCTGGAGCTCCGGCCCAACATGGCGCCGTTGGAGCAGTGGTTCTCAACCTGCGGGTCTCGACCCCTTTGGGGGGCCAAACGACCCTATCCCAGGGGTTGCCTGATTCGTAACAGTAGCAAAGTGACAGTGATGAAACAATGAAAATACTTGTATGGTGGGGGGTCATCACATGAGGAACTGTATGAAAGGGTCGCGGCATCAGGAAGGTGGAGAACCACTGTGTTGGAGGATCCTGGGAAATGGCAGGACCCCTTCGTTCCTGCTCAGGACCTGGTCCCCTCCACCCTTTTCTTCTTTGTGCGGTGGACGTCAGGCCCCTTCTTACCTGGTCTTGATCTTGTGATTTTCTGTTTATGAAGCCCAGATTAGGTAAACTCAGAAACACAACTGGGTCAGTAGATTCAAAGGGACTGGACAGGGGAGGCTGGCAGGAAATGGAGTGTCAGGTCAGCGGGTACAAGGAAGAAGCAATGTCCTGGGATCGATTGTAGTGATGGCTGCACAATTCCTATGTGATTAACCCAGTGAAATGTATGGTGTGTGCATTGTTCCGTTGGCGAAACTGTTACAAATTAATTAAAAAGATTACCTCGTTGTGTGATAGCGGTCAAGGTGTTCCAGCCACCATCCCTGGATCACACAATCTGCGCGCGGCACTCGATGCGTGTCATGCACACCCTTGGCCAGCAGGTGGTGCCACGAAACCAGAGGCGCTTTGCTGCGGCCTCGCCTAACATCCAGCTAATACCATGGGCAGGTGGGGACGACCGGAATTCAGAGCAGGACAGTCGGAAGTCGGAGCAACTTTCGGGCCTTTGTAAAGAGTGGTAACACGTTCTTATATAAATCATCTTTTATTTTTTAGCATACAAAAGGTATAAATATGATTTATGTAAAACCAATCACCGCGCACAGGAAGCTGGAAGACACCCGGGGGCTTCAGGGGTGTGGGGAAATTGGATTGAAAGACCCAGGGAGTCCCCTGGTGTCCTCCAAGGAAGATAGTGCAGGGGTCCCCCGCAGGATCAGATCCCCTCCCCCGGCGGTAGCACCCCTTCCCTCAGCCGCTGCTGCGGTCCATCCGTCCATCCCTGCGCTGCTCATGGAGAAGTGAGCAGCTTCCTGCTTTCAACCGGGGTGGCTGGCTGCGCAGGCAGTCCGGCGGGACGGTGGGAGGGAGTTGGGAAGGGCCCGAGCGCACTTCTGTCCATGAGGCACTTGATGGGGAGCATGCCTGAGAGGAATCCAATCATGCCACAGGAAAGCATGTGGGGCCTGGGAGCCAGCAGTCCCTGCTCCTCGACCCCAGCACAGGAGGCTTGACTTAGCAGCAGCAGCAGGCGGGAAGAGCCGCTGGTGCATGCCCTGTGCTGGTAACTGCTCAGTGCGCAGGCTCTGGACTGGACGGCGCCGTCCACACAGTCTGCTGGGAGGTGCTAACCATGTGGACCGCTCAGGAGGAGTCTTAGGACCTGGGAGGACCAGCTGCCCGCAGCTCTAACGTGCTTACCATAACCTCTGCCTTGACAGTGACGATGAGAAGTCACCACAGAGAATGTGCTCTTGCCTCTTACACTGCCTACAGGGAGGGTCCGGGTCTCCTTGGCCCGTGTCGCTGGGGGAGGCACTGTCAAATGACCCTCAGCTGTAACGCACTACGGTCACTTTCAGAGTTGACGCGTTAAGGTCTTCACAGAAATTAAAACAATGACATCAAATTCTTACATATTGATCAAACACTGGGCCAGAGCCGCTTTGAGACTAAGATCAGCGCTAGCCAACCTGCTGAGGGGCAGGGGTTCCTGTGGCCCCAGTGCCTTCCCAGCCCAGGGGGACACAGGCCGGTTCTGGGAGACAAACGCCACACTTGCTGCACCAGGAAGTGCGCTTCTAAATTTGTTTACGAGTGAGCACTAATGCTTCTGGGGAATGGTGGCTGCTGCCGCCTCCTCCTGTGGGGGCTCTGATGGGGCAGCAGAGCTAAGTCACCTGCGTGGACTCCAGATGGCAACTGAAGGCATTTCCCCACCGTGATGGTGGAATCTGCACGAGGAACCATCACCATCAAAGAAAGTAGAAACTGCCTACAGAGATGCTGTGCAACCAGTCTTTAGCTCTCATCTGAACCGCTGCTGCTTCCCAAATATACTCATTCTCCACTGAGCATCTCCTGACTATAGATTTATTGTGAAAGGGTTCCAAGCCCACAGCTGATGCGGACATACCTGAAGCAGGTGTTGGCAAAACTAGGGCCTGGGCCAAACCTGGCCTGTTGTCAACTTGTGTAAATAGGACTGCACTGGAAGACAGCCACACTCACCATGAGCGGTCTGTGGCTGCTTTCAGGCTACAGCGACACAGCTGAGTAGTTTAGAGACTGGGCTCGTGCAGACGACAGTATTTACTGTCTGTCCTTTGCAGAAGTCAATGTGTGCAAGCCCTGCCCTGGAGAATAAAGGCAAGGTGGGGAATTGCTCTTCTCCGGGAAGCTAGAGGAGACTGGACTCGTGAGCAGTGACCAAGGTGCTGTCAATGATCTCTCAACCGTGCTCAACTGCGATTCCTGATTAAGCCTAAAAAGCCCTATGGAGTTTGAGTGTGTGTACACGCACACTCGGGTGTTTCACCAAAGAGATACGCGTGTATGTCTTGGGACGAGGGAGACTAACGATCTGCTTCTGAGAGCGCCACAGCGATGCAGGTCAGTTCTGCGCCTGCGGTTCCGTTCTCTCACTCACAGGCCAGCTTGCTGTCACAGCTAGAAAGCCCAATGGCAAAGGCCTGGATGGCGCACAGGGGGTAGTTGTAGTCCAACGTAAATATGTCCTCCGACACACGTCCAAACTGCATGACGATATAGTCGGCTGTAAGCCAAGGAGTTCGGGCGTTAGAAGGTAGTGTAATTGTACCAGGGAAAAGGCTAGTTAAGCCACAGAAATCCTCTACTGAATCCTCCACGCGCCACCAGAGCAAACAAACTCTGTGCCTGTAGTCCATTCTGACTCCTGCGACCTCACAGGGCAGGGTAAGCTGCCGCGATGGGTGTCCCAGATTGCAGCTCGTTACAGCAGTAGGAAACCCGGTCTTCTCCCAAGCCAGTCACTGGGTCTCTTCCAGCTCAAACCTGGGGATGCTGAGACTGAGAGAAAGGAGTGCCTGCCCATCAAGGGCAGGGTCGCTCTCAGACCCTCTCAGCCGCAGAGCTGGAGGTTAGTCCTGACGAGCACCAAGGCCAAGCAGAGAGACAAGCCAAGGGGAGTGAACTGAGAACAGTGCCAGCTCCGTGGGCTGTTTGTGTGTGCTACCCCGATCCGCCTCCCTGAAAACTTCTCTGAGCTGCCACGGTAAATCTCTCCTACTCCCCTCCCTTCCTCAACACAGTGGCTCACGAGTTTTCTTCTAAAATTGTCCTTTTGTTTTTCCAAAGAAATGACCTTTCTAAAGTAATTAGCAGCTCCCTGATATAATAACCCCCTCCCAGCTATGGGAAACGCTCATTTCTCACGTCAGAACGTCTCTCCCCTGTTCCCGCCCAGCTCTTCCTGTGGCTTACGGTCATTGTCGTGGACGATCTGGAAGTTCTTCACAGACGCCTGCGTGACCCGGCCATGAAAGCTCAGGACGTAGGACTGGACGTCATCATTCCAGACGGGGGCCTTGTTGTGCAGTTCAATCAAATTCTCCATTATTTTGTTTTCCCATTTGCAAAATAAGCTCTCGTGGTCCTGCTCAGAGGGAAAACCTGGTTAAGAACTCATTCAGTCTCAATCACGAGAGAGAAGATGGAGTGTGTGTGCGCGTGTTTGGGGTGTGTGTGTATGTGCGCTTTCTCCTTTTCAGAAAGGGTAAAGCAAAAGCAAACAGAGCCACAAAGTACCCTAGATTTCTTTCATCCTTATGTGATACTCAGCATTTCTCTCTGTAGACCAGCTAATTCGGAGTGAGCAACTTTAGCAACTATTGTGAAATGAGACTTACTCTGAGGTTCTGGAATGGGTCTCTCCTAAAGAAAACTGGGACCCATCCTCGAACCTGGAGTTCCAGCAACATGTGGACACACAGCATGAGCACGTGCACAGAGCTGACCCTCGCACAGGGTGATTCCCACTGCGCAGGCCCGAGACGCTGGTCATCTGCATGAGTAGCATCCTCTAGTAAATTGCATCTTGTTGTAAAAAAGTAATCTCGAGATTTTCATGTATTTCAATCATACCACAAACCTCGAGTAACATCATGAGAGTCATTCAAAGTGCCACTAGTGTTGTCGGAAGAACTCCTGAGATCGGCCACTGCCTGGCCTGCCGTTTCGCGGCGACAGCACCCAGCGGAAGGGCCATTGCCAAAGAAAAGGAAGTTCGTGAAATCTTGCTCTGTGGGCGATGTCTCTCTTTTTCGTTTCTTTTTTTTAATCATTTTATTAGGGGCTCATACAACTCTTATCACAATCCATACACACAGCGATGTCTCTTTTTATCTTGTACGGAAAACTCAGCTTTTATGTTGGTGTAGTATATGAGACATATAACATACAACATTTGTGTTCATTGACTGTTACTGGTAAAGCTTCTAGTCAACAATAGGCTATTAATTAATTCACCTTTTTAGAAAGTCAAAGGTTGTAAGATTTTTTTCCTGTGTGAGAGGTCAGTACGTCTAACCGCTCTATTGTTCAAGTTTTAACTGTGTATGTATGTAGTGTGTGCTCATGTGTGTGTGCATATATATATATAGATTTCCCCCTTCCCTAATTGCTCTCTTCTGTGTTGTAGTCTTGTTTTTAAGCATGCCTTTGCTGATCAAATATGTTCAAGTGTTAACTGTGTATACGTGTGTGATATAGATGTGAGTGTATTCTTAATTGATCTCTTCTCTATGGTATTCTTATCTTTTACAGTTCTTTTGCTGATCAATATGTTCTTACTTACATTTCGTGGCCGAAAAGGTATCCGTTCATGACTCATATTCATCCCGGGAATAATCACAGACATTTTCCTAGGGCCTTTAAACCCAAGTACATTTGTTTCCTAGAAGACAGGAAAGGGAAGTAGAAGTGGGAAACTCAAAGGAAAGAAACCACTGTCTAACAGGAGCCTCTCCTGGGCATGTGCAATGTTGACCCTGTCAGGAGACGCAGCCATTACACGGTGCAGTACTACTGGGGCTCAGACAGACAGGCAGACAAACAAACACAAACTCACTACCAAGTTGAACTCAGGGCTACCCAGTACGCCAGGGCAGAGCTGCCCCTGGGTTTCCAAGACTGCGTCTCACGGGAGTAGAAACCCTCATGTTTCTCCTCTGAGTAGCTGACGGGTTTAAACTGTTGACCTCGTGGTAAGCAGCTCCACGAGGGATAGTGTCAAAACTAGGGAAGTAATACTATGCCTGGTCTTAAACCCAATTTTGCACAGCTGGATTTAAAACAGATTCTATTAGCTTGAAACTTCACTTACTCTTCCTTGTCAGCAATATGTGCACTGACTGCAGCCGCTCTGGCCCAGGGTGCTGTGGGAAGCGCGGAGCGCCTACTGTTGGCTGCTCAAAGCCACCACGCACCCATCGACACCACAGGCTGAGAATCTCTGTAACACTGCTGAGTCGTGGCAGTGGGCTATTGGGGGCCTAGTAAGCAAACTGTCTAACTTTGTCACCATCAACAAATAATTACCGTATATACTAGACTATAAGCTGAGTTTTCAGCACATTTTAAATGCCATTTTTGTGGTAAAATAAGGTACCTTGGCTGATAATCGGGTCAGCTTATACTCGAGTATAGACGGTAGTTCTCAAGGCAGGCATGATACTATGTGCTACAATGAGTACTACAGCTTACATTAAATAGGGCGTGTACTAAAACCAAACACCAAACTCACTGCCATCGTGTCAATTTTGACTCAGAGAGACGGTATTTAGGGCTTCTGGGGCTTTTATTTAAAAAGCTTTGGAGCAGACAGATCTCATCTTTCTCTCAAGGAACTGCCAGTGGGGTCTGAATGACTGATCTCGTGGTTAGCAACCCAATGCTTAGTTGACAGCCACCAACGCTAGACGACCAACAACTCTGATCTCTATTAACCTGGCAGAGTGTATAAATAAACACATTAAACAGGTACTCTATCTCTAAATGTATGTGGGGAAATGTAATGCACACGTTACAATACTTTCCTGAGACGAGAGAGGCGATGTGTTATAAGGTGCTGAGTCAAACTGTTCTCAGACATGTAGAGTAACTTCACTTAGGGAAGGTGAAACTGGGATGAAACCAGCAGCTACACTGGGCTCGTTCTTTCTTGCCGTCTTTTGCTCAGCCGCCCCTTCAAGGCCTCTGTGCTTCTGGCCCTGTGCTAGTGTGGATAAAGCAGTGCGCTCGCGCCTGCAGTTTCTGGCAGAGCCAGTTCATCTGCAATATGCAGTATGGAATACAGTCGTCAGGTTACGAGACAGGGTGCCATGGGATGTCATTCCAAGGTGTGATTCTCTGATGGCCTGATTAACCCAAGAGGCCTTAAGGAGAGGGGTGGTTCTCACCGAGGCTGGAGCAAAGCCACTAGGGATGGGGTGGGGCTAGTGTGGTTAGAATGACACGGGGGCGGGGCAACGGGAGGGAGACTAAAGCGTTAGGACTTTACTCCATAGGCAGTGGGGCCCAGAAAAGACCTGAAACAGGACGACAAGACCCACCGGAGCACTGTTTTAGGAAGACGTATCTGACAGCAGTATAAAGCAGGCTAGAAGGGAAAAGATTCAAAGCAAAGGGCCAGTGTCTAAGTTGTGGTCACCTCTGGCTAATGACTATGGTGTCACGGAGGCCTGAATCCCTACAGAGAGAGGCATCAGGGCAAGGGGAGAAGGGAGAGGAACTATCACACAGGGAGGAGCAGCACTGGACGGGCCAGTGCACTAGCCACAGCAAGTGAGACAAATACATGGAGAGCCGGGAACCGCGGCAGCAAAGAAGGATCTCGCAGAAGCAAGCTTGGGAGCGAAGGCGATGGCTGTCTTTGGTGGCATTGAACTCTGAGCACCAGCAGCGTGAGCTGAGGGTGGCACTTACGTAGCAGATGACCGCCAGCTCTTGCCGGGTGTGGGCCTTCTCTACCAGTCCCTGGGCCTTGGTGGGGCTGACCCCATGGTCATACACTGTGAACCTGCTGCCCGTGAGGTTAGATCTGGAATCAGGAGAGAAAGGTACCAGGGTGAGCTACAGTGTCTCTCTCAGCCACAGCGTCTATGAGAGGTAACTAACCTCTCAGAAGTGAGGAGGCTGATTTCACCTAGTCTCCAATGTCTACGGGTTCATGACCACTTTGTCGAAGATCTGAAAGGAGGTAAGAAATTTTTTGTTTCTTAATTTATTTTATTGGGAGCCACCCTTACAGATATCGTACCATGTAATGGCTCAATCACATCAAGCAGTGTTACAGTGTATCACACAACTGCTAACACACCAGTTTCAAAACATTTTTTTCTTCCTGAACTCCTTGATATCGGCTCCCCTTTGTCCCCTTCCCCCAACCTCCCAGGAACCTTTATTATTTCTTTTTCCTATAATAGTGTTTTGGGGGGCTAGGCCAGACCTCACACAACCCATCTGTCCGTTCACACACAGTTCTGTTGCCAACCCCATTGAGTGCGCTTACACAGTCCTCAGTGCTGTCTGCTGCCTCTCCCCCCAGGAAAGTTTTTAAAGATTACCATTCTCAGTAAAAACTCATTATAAAAAGGATGGTTATGAACTTGATTTCTTAAATGTAACATGAGCAAATTTCAGGTCAATAAATAGAGCTAGTTCACTTTAGCTATTGTGTAATTTCCACAAATGGAAGGACTATGATTTATTTATCAATACATTCAAGAAATGTTTGTTGAGCACCTCCTGTGTGCCAGCTATTATTTTAGGGAGTAAGGACATAATGGTGAAGAAGACAGTCTCCCATCTCCTGGAATGTTTATTCTAATATGGAAAGGCAGACAATAAACAGACAAAATAAGGTAAGTATGAGGGAAATTTACAAAAACGACGACAGTGGTAGACGGTGCCGTCTCAGAGTGTGGTCAGAGAAGCCTCTCCTCGGACACGACACGAGCCAAAGTGTGGAGGAGCGGAGAGGGCTTGGACAATGCGGAGGAGGAGTGTGCCCGGCAGAAGACTGAGTAGCACAAGTCGAGGCAACACTGAGCTTAGCGGACTCAGGGATTATACGGAAGTCCGAATGGCTGGAGCAGAGCGAGGGGGAGCTGGAGGGGAAATGAAATCAGGGAGTCAGGGGATAGGTCACTGAAGGACACGTTCAACCCTGGGAAGGACTTTGGGCTTTAAGTGCAATGGAGAGGCAGGCATTAGAGGGCTTTGTGCATGCACATGAGTGTGGTGTTAATCAGATTTTTATTTTTAAAAGTTCATCTGAAGAAGAAAAAAAGTTTATCTGGTTGTGGTATGGAAAAAATAGACCAAAAGGCAAGTACAGAAGTGGAGAGGAGAGTTAAAAAGACAGGGAAGGCAGAGAAGCAGGGCCCAACCTCTGACTCCTGTGGACAACAACTGCTGATGGGAGAGAGAGAGAAGAGAAGCAAAGCTAAGGCTTGAACAGACGATGAACGGTGCTACCACTCACCGAGAGGAAGGTGATGGGAGGAAAGGCTTTGGGGAGGGAACTCAAAATGAATTATCTTCTAGACAGGAACAACAGACGAAAACTCACTGCCATGGAGTTAGTGTTGACTCAGAGCAACCGGGGTGGGCAAGGCAGGACTGCCTCGCAGGGTTTCTGAAACGCTACCTCGTCACAGGAGTACAGAGCCTCGTCTTTCTCCCCAAGAGGGGCTGGTGGTCTCGCACTGCAGACCTTTCGCTTAGCAGCCCAATGCGTCACCACTGCACCACCAGAGTTCCTCTAGACACGGCAGGCTTGAAAACGCCATGAGCATCCAAATGGCGATGTGAAGTAGGATGGACAGGTGAAATTTAAACTCGGGGGAGCCTTCAGGGTTGAATGCGTAAACTTGGAGAAGACTGATATATAGGTGATGGTGGTTAGTGCTGAGTGGTGGATAAAATCACTGTAAAGGAGGAAAGATAGAGGGAGAAGAAGGGGTCTGAGGAAGGTCCTTGGAACACACTAGCACTTAGCAGTCAGGAAGAAGATCCTAGAGAGCGGAAACAGAACACCTTGCCAGAAAGCAAGAAGATAAAATGGAAATAATGTAATTGCAACAGCAAAGAAAATCCTTCCACTGAAAGTCAAGTAAGTGAGGGCTGTGATGACGAACCCCTGGATTTAGACCTGTAACGTCTGCTGGGGTCAGTGACAAGAGGTTTCAGCCGGATGTTGGACTGAAGGTGGTTGTGCCCATCAGGAACGTCACCTTGAACTAAGGTGTCTAAGTTCCAATAATGAGACGTGGCAATACCAGGGACCTCTCGACATGAAGCTCTGATGACAAGTCACAGCGGTGGTATTCCTGCCAAAAGGCATCACGTGAATTTAATCATGTGGGAGATAAACTGCCATAGAATGGAGGCCAACTTGTGGGTGCATAAGCAAATGTGGTGAACAAAGCTGATGGTGCCTGGCTATCAAAAGATATAGCGTCTGGGGTCTTAAAGGCTTGAAGGTAAACAAGCGGCCATCTAGCTCAGAAGCAACGAAGCCCACATGGAAGAAGCACACCAGCCTGTGCAGTCATGAGGTGTCAGGGATCAGGTATCAGGCATCATCAGAACAAAAAAATCCTATCATTGTGAATAGGGGGAGGGAGTGCGGAGTAGAGACCCAAAGCCCATTTATAGGCCACTGGACATCCCCTTACAGAAGGGTCTCGGAGAGGAGACAAACCAGTCACGGTGCAATGTAGCAACGATGAAAATACAACTTTCCTCTAGCTCCTAAATGCTTCCTCCCCCACCATCACAATCCCAATTCTACCTTACAAATCTGGTTAGACCAGAGGATATACACTGGTACAGATAGGAACTGGAAACACAGGGAATCCAGGGCAGATGATCCCTTCAGGACTAGTGATGAGAGCGGTGATACCGGGAGGGTGGGTTGGAAAGGGGGAACCGAATATAAGGATCTACATGTGACCTCCTCCCTGGGGGACGGAGAACAGAAAAGTGGGTGAAAGGAGACGTTGGACAGTGCAAGATATGGCAAAATAATAATTTGTAAATTATCAAGGGTTCATGAAGGAGAGGGAGTGGGGAGGGAGGGGAAAAAATGAGGAGCTGATGCCCGGGGCTTGGGTGGAGAGCGGATGAGGGCAATGAATGAGAATGATGAGGGCAGTGAATGTACAGATGTGCTTTACACAATTGATGTCTGCATGGATTGTGATAAGAGTTGTATGAGCCCCTAATAAAACGATTAATAAACCTAACTGCAAAGAATGGAGGCCAATTCACAGTGACCCCATAGGACAGGGTAGAACTGCCGCTGTGGGTTTCTGAGACTGTAACTGCTTACAGGCATAGAAAGAAAGCCCCGTCTTTCGCCTGAGGAGTGGATGGATGGTGATTTCAAACCACCCAACACATAGCCACTATGCCATCAGGGGTCATGAGGAAGCATCAGATAAACCCAAACTGAGGGATAGTCTACAACTAATGGGCCAAAACCCTTCCAAAGTGTTAAAGTCATGAAAGGCAAAAACACCATGAACGGAAACAACACAAATCCCTTGGGAACTGCCCAAGCTGAAGGAGACAAGACCAGCTACAAGCAGCATCCTGGATTGGCTGGCTCTCCGACCAGAAACAAGATCATGAGTGGGGCAAACAGGGGATCTGAGGAAGGCATTATCAGTGCCTCCAAGGGGGTTTCCTCGTTTTGATCACTGCATGAGGGAGGTAGTTGTGTGCTGCCGAACTGGGTTCAGCTCATAGCAACCCTGTGCGCAGAGAACACCCCGGGGTTTCCTGAACTGCCATCTCCATGGGAGCAGGTCGCCAGGTCCTTTCTCCTGCAAAGCCACTGGTGGGTTGGCCCACCACTGAAGCTGAGTGCTTACCACCGTGCCATCAGGGCCTCCTGGTGCTGCGGGTAGGAAAGATGTTCACATTTGGGAAACTGGCTGAAAGGAACTCTGTACTGTGTAACTTTTTTTCTAAGTTCAAAAGTATTTCCAACTGGAAAGTTAAAAATAAAGGTTGAGGAAGGAGCCGATGGGCAGCATAAGTATCTCCTCAGGGTTTACAATGAAGACGAAACGATGACTCGTCACGGGGAGAAGAAAAGGTGGGATCAAAGGAGGGCTGTTTGCTTGGTTTGTTGTCAATGGAAGTCCTCTCTGCTTGTAAACGAACCCAGCTCAAAAGGGCGGCGTGACATGCTGGAGAGGCACAAAGGCCTTGAATTAGGGAGAGTGAGCAGAATCCAGTGAAGGTAAAGGTGTGGTCTGACAGAGCAGTAGCAAGTCTATGTATCGCTGTGACAATAGGGAGGCAAAGGATATCCACCTGGATGCAGGCAGGCGGAAGTTCCTTTCTGACTATCCCTGCTGCTCAGGGCGATCAAAAGCACGGCCATCATCTGGGAGGAGTTGGGAGGCAGGAGAAGGGGGACGGGAAGTCTGAGAAGAGAGACAGGGAAGACTCATCTCAGATTGGGAGAGACAGTTGCTTCTTGGGCCTCTCTAATGTGTGGTTAAGTGAGATCAGTTCCCTTGTTTCTCTTTCCTCCAGCTACGTTCAGCAACCACACCTGTCTGTCAGTCTGCTGCGCTGTGGTGGTTTGCGTGTTGCCGTGACTCTGGAAGCCATGACACGATCCCCAAACCAACCGCGTAGCAGTAGGTTTCCCAATGTTAGTGATCTTGGCATTCTGGATTATGATTTTTAAAAATTATTTTTAGTACACACTGAATCCATGAGTTTCGTTTATCACTGTGTTTTACTTTTCATTCTCTTTAAACGGGTGTTTGCTATGCGCATACACAGGCCCGGATGGCTGGGTTAGCTGGCCCCTTGAACTAGCCATCTTCTGTACAGATAAAACATCTGCAGTCAGACCCACTCTGATGAGAGGAACAGAAGCATCAGAACAAACGGGAGGACTGACACAGGCCACTCTTACCTGAGTTTGCCGATGTAATTTTCCCCCGCACGAGATAAATCTAGAGGATCAGTGGAGATGAGGTAATTGGAAGTTTTGCTCTTTTTCCGCTTTCTTGCTGCAAGAAGAAACCTCTAGAAAAAGAAAGGTGTCAGTGAAAAATTAAGGCAAGAGAAGCCCAAGCTTTGTCTTACCCAGTCACTCAACAAGTATTTAGCAAATGCCTATCAATCACTAAGTTGCTGGTCTCTGGGTCTTTCCTCCTTTCTGACGCTCACTCTGCTTCCTAGAATTCACTATCTGTTCCCTTCCAAGACGGCTGCTTGGAATTCACTAGCTTCATTCTCTTATCTAGTTGCTTACACGTGTATCCCCAAACATGACTTCTAAAAAGCCTCCTACAATGCCATGTCTAAGAAGCCCAACTTTAGAAGACACTGGCTCCTAGCCCCCTTACCCTCTGCAGTCACTGTCCTAGTATGCCTGTTATATTTGTTGTTGCTTTAAACCCCTGTGCTCCCGGTGACATGAACAGTCACTTTATGCACCCTTCCTTAAGCTCCTGAGTTTAGACAATCCGTCACAGGGAATCAGGGGAGCAGAGATGGCTAGAGTTCAGAATCTGCTATATCACTTCATGTGATAAGTTATTCTCTTAGCCCCACGGACCTCTTCCATAATAAGAAACACTATTTTGTTCAGAGAAGAAACTTGTCCACTGGACTAAGAAACTCATATGAATCACGGCCTCGTCTAACCCAAGACCAGATAAACTAATGATGCGTGCCGCCCAGCTGCCACCACTGACCATTCTGACCAGGGAGTTACTAGACGATCCTGAATAGAATGGCAGCAAAATGTAGAATGAAATTAAAATTCCTGAAAAAGGCCAGACTTACTGGACCATTATAGAGACTACAAGAAACCCTTGGATGATCACTGGAAGATAAACTTGGAACTTGGAAATGAAGCTATCTCTGGAGGTCAGCTTTCAGCCAAATAATAGATTGGTTTATAAGATAAACAGCAGCACCCATGATTAATGCGCACCCTTAAAACCACCACCCTAACAGCTGGCATTTAGCCACACATGAAAATGAGCAGGCAAGGAGGCAAAGGAGGCTCGATCAACGGAAGTAACAAACATGATGGAAATAAAAGAGAATCCTGACACAGTGTGAAAACAATGTGGATACATATCATTAAAAAGTTGGGGGAAAGGAGGAGCTGATGCCAAGGGCTTAAGTGAGGAGCAAATGTTTTGAGAATGTTGAGGACAAAAAATGTGCTAATGTGCTTTACACAATTGATGTTATGTATGGATTGTGATACGAGTTGTAGGACCCCCAATAAAATTATTTAAAAATATATTATTAAAAAGTACGCTAATTTTGCTGTATACACTTTTATCAAAAACACAATAAAATGTTATTTCAAAAAAATAAATTTTATCTTGCAAGGTCATTATATTTTATTTATACATATCTTACAGTGTATGCCTGTGTGCCTGATAATTAGTAAACACAATAAACAGTGGCTATAATAACAATGATATCTATTATCATTTTATAATTTCTAGGCTCTTAAAAGTTAACCATTCACACACAAAAGAAGTTGTTCATTAGCAAGTATTAATGGCCTCAAACTTATACAGAATGAATTATAATTTGTAGAGTAAGAAATAAGACATTTAACTTGAATATTTTTCTAGATTTCTAACTTCTTCTATCTCCTAAAATTTGTTCACCTTCCATGTCATATATAATAAAAATACACAATGAAGAGCACTCATGAATACTCCCAAGTAAGTAACAGAATAAGAATAAAATAATCACATGCAAACATTCTCTTCCATTTTAGATAAAATTCTTTTTGGAGCAGAGGGAGGGGTAGGGTCTTGCCTATTTAGAACTATGAACTCCTTGAAAACACTGAGAACACAATTATCTGGGAATTAGTAGATATAATCTACTTCCAGCTGACTTGGCTTAACAGTAGGGCGATTTTCCTATCATAAGGCACATTCTTCCCTTCTACCTCAAGATCTGCCGGAAGACTCGGTTCTCTTACCTTTTGATTTTTATCTTTTTCCAAGAACATACAATAAGTGGGGAAGAGACGGCGATCCATTCTATTTTTATTCCTGATTATTCGACACTTGATTGTGACACCTCGGGGGGCAGGGCTGTATGCAAACTCCTCTAAATTCTCCACTTCCCCCAGCTGGTTTTCAGTCTGCTGTGCTGCAGAACCGGAAGCCCCTGGACCCTGCAAGACCAAACCTGTGTGAGCAATGGCGGCCAGCCGGGAAAATGGCACTCAGTGAGAGACCCTACATGGGGAACCAAAACACCTTAACTGATTACGTCTGTAGTCTCATGACAAAATGAGGGGAAACTCAAACAATTAAATAAGGATCGGAATAGTGAGAGTAATGAAGTAGCTACACAGGAAGAGGGAGGCAGCCTCACAAAGCTGACTTGAGGTGAAAATTTAGGGACACGAGCTTAGTCTGAATTCAAGTTCAAATCATCTAAAGGGACTCTCACCAGTAACGGTACTTAATACTGAAGGTATGTTTAGGAAATAGTCAGGTCCGCTCAGAGAAAGGCATTTCAGAGCTACGTACTGCGGTTGATTTCTGGCTGGATGCAGAATCGGGTCTTTCTGTTTCTGAATTTGGTGAATGTGATCTTAATTCTTTCCCTCCTTCTTCCTCCCCATCGGTCTCCTCCTCATCAAAGTTTAAACTGCCTGAGATTCCTGGCAGAAAAACAAGAGCTGTCAACAACTGTCAACTCCAAACTCATGGCTGGCGAATCCGCTCTGGCTCATAGGGCCCCGGGTGCCCGGTAGACCTGCCCCTGTGGGTTTCCGAGACTGTAGCTCCAGGGGACTACAAAGTCATGGAATGACCGGTGGTTTCCATATGCTGACCTTGTCACTAGCAGCCCAACATGCAGATAGTCCGCCACCAGCGCGCTTGTCAACCCTGGTTTGAAAACGACAGTTTCATTTTTCTTGCTTAAAACTTTCCCAGTTATTCCTAGTTACATCTATTTCATAAAAACCGACCATTATTTCTCCATAAAAAAATGTCATCTCTGTTAAAAATGTCAACAAGTATCTGCTAACCCTAGGTGGTTACCCAAGAGAAAGGAAACATGTCCACGCAAAGTATGCACACAATGTTCACAGCAGCTTTAGTGTAGCAGCAAAAAAACGAAAATCAACCCAGATGTCCATCATTTAGATCAGGGGTGGGCAATGTCCGGCCGATGGCTGTAGAAGGCCCTAGAAATCATCAGTCCCAGTGACATCACAAACCTCATCAAAGAAAGGCAGCTACAGCATCACGTGGGGTGAGTTAATGAAATGTTTGACAATTAAATGCGTGGTCTGTGAATGATGTTATAAATACCCAAATGGTCCTTGGCAGAAAAAAAGGGTTCCCTAGCCTTATTTTGATAGAGATTGTGGTACAGCCATGCAATGAACTACCATCAACAATAAAAGGGACAAACAGTGTAATGACCAGGATGCTAAGGTCTGTTACAGTCAATCAACTGAAAGGAAGTTTCCTCTGGGGTGTGGCCTACTTCCAATATAACTGACTGCTGTGGAAAAGCTTGTTTGCTTTCTGCCGGGTCTGGATTCTGCATCTGGCTGGTCATTGATCTCCAGTTCTTTGCACTTCAGCCAGTGGACTACAGTATTGCCTGTCAATCTTGGAAGTTGCCAGCAGTCTCACCTGCCAACCTTGGATTCATCTGCCTCTGTGGCAGAAGCTTGCCAACTGACCTGCCGATCTTGCCATCATTCAGCCCTGTAGCTATGAGACAGAAGTCTCCAGCCCGGCCCCTCATGTATGGGTTTGGAATTTGCTCCCTTCTCCAACTCTGTGCCCATGTCCTTGATCAGGAGCCTTTCTCTACACACACACACAGACACACACACACACACACACACACACACACACACACACACACACACACACACACACGCTTCACTAGTTCCGCTTCTCCCACAAGCCTGGCTTAAGACGGCGAGAGAAGATGTCCGCCTACAGCACAGGTGCAGAGCTAGGACCTAAACTGAGCTCCCTTTCTCTTCGCTAAGTTATCCTTCATACAATAGTTGAAATCACCTGCAAATCATGGATTTAACAAGTAGACTTAAAGCCAGGGAGGGTGGCTTTTTTCTTCCAGCCACTTCCTGCTCACATTCAACTATCTCTGAAGAGTTTTTACACAGCTCACAATTAAATTGATAGTGGTTTTACTTGAAGGCGCCCGTGGACAAGATAAACACTGGATTGTCAAAAAGTGATCTGAAGTGAAGCATGAGGCTTCACAAAGTTCATTCAAAATTCCATGATCTCTTGATGCACGTGTGCACAGCCACACAAAAACCTGAACATGAATGTTCACGGCAGCTTTATTCACAATTGTTAAAAAGTAAAAACAATGCCAACTGAGGAATGGAAAAAAATGTAGCATACCTATATAATGGGCTATTACTTGATAATAAAAGAGAGCTAAGTATTGATACATGCTACAGCATGGGTAAACCTTGGCAACAGAATGCTAAGTCAGAGCAGCACAGCATAAAGGACCCGTATGACACCTTTCGTGTGAAAGGCCCGGAACAGGCCTACCAGAGACAGAAAGTAACTGAGGCTGCTTAGAGGCTTTGTGGGTAGTGGAGGTTGGTGGGAAACAGGAGATGATGGCTAGTGGATACAATATTCATTCTGAGATAATGAAGATGCTCTAAAATGGACTGTGATATTTGCATAAGTCTGTAAAAATATACCAAATACCATTAAATTACGTACTCTAAATGTATAAGTTGTATGGTACGTAATTATCTCTTTTTTGTCGCCCAAAGTCAGAAAACTTGAGATGTGACTGTGATCTCGACATCTTTGCTCGTACTGTGTTTTCAAGTGTCATTTTTATACCAACACTCAGTTTATACGAATGTATGGATGAAGATGAAGGTCAAAGAGTTCTCCCGAACCTTTAGGACAGCCTAATTGGACATACTCGTTGAAACTGTCACTTCTTAAGTTAATCAGGAGACCTCTTAATAGGTTTTATGATGCAACTGGCCTACATGTAAGAGGCATCATCTGTCACTAAAAACTAGTTCCAATTAGTTCTATGACACAGCCCTACTTGCTACTAGCCCTCACTGAAGATATGGGTGCTGTAGCAAAGAGCAGTGAAGAAATCAGATAGTGCCTGGCTAACTGAAAGAAGCAAGCAGTCATCTAAGTGAGGCATCAACTAAGTCCACACAGAAAAAGCACATCAGTTTGTGTCATCTAAGAATTATAAATGAAAAAATCCAAATCTAGGAGACAACGATATCAAAGCTTAAATTCAGAAACACTCGGTTTTTGGAAGGCTATGGATGATAGTGGAAACACAGAAATCCATTGGCAGGATGTCTCCATTAAGCCTCTAGTGAATTCCCTCTGACCAGAGTTCAGGGATGACCGTAGTCCAGCGAACAGCCCGCTGTCACACAGAGAACACAGTGAAGTCCATTATGGCAGATGGAGTTAGGTTACAATGTAACACTTATGTGATCTCCCTGTCTCACCCATCTTAAATCTGTTCCAGTTTTTAATATTTTTCTGATTTCTTTTCAATTGAGGGTTTTGCTGTTTTGTTTTATTTTGTCATGTTAGATTTTTAAAATGTGTTTCTTGATTTTGTTTTGTGTATTTTTCTCTATATGAAATCCAGGACAGATAAACTTATAGATATATCTATAGAGACAGTAACTGTATTATTAAGTACCTGCGGTCATGGCAAGGGGGAGATGGGAGGCTAACAACAATAACTACAAGAAAGAAGAAAATGTTTTAAAATTGACTGTGGCAATGATTACACAACTCTTCTTAATATGATTGAACTACTGAATGATATGCCAATATAAAACAAAAAGAGTGGGCTAGTTCTGAGAAAAAGCAGAGCAGGTATGTAATCGGGTTGGGCCACAGGAGACAAGCTGGTTCTGAAGGGATAAAGAACTGGGCTAAGAATCTGAAAATTTAAAGAAAGAATAAATCTAGTCCTAACATTAGGAAGCCAGATGACTTGGTAATTTCACGTTTAGTTAAATACAAGGTTCTTTCTACTCCAACTCCTACTTGTCCAACTGTCTCTCCTTGTATTTTCTTTTGTTGCTGTCATGGGGAAATGCCACAATTATGCTCAGATTAGAAAACAGAAAATGAGGCAGAGAACAAAGTAAGTTGTTTGCTCCTCTCCCAGCCAGAAATGGCATCGTTGAACTCCTGAAACTACTGCTTTGGATGGATCTTTAAACCTTAAACCCAAAATATCTGCCCAACGCCTTCTTTAGAACCAAGCAATAAAAACCAAAAACCAAAGTCACTGCTATTGAGTCAACCCTAAGAAAGCCTCCTCTTTTCCTGAGCACCACGGGTAGGTTTAAACTGCTGACCTTGTGCTTAGCAGCTCAACACATAACCCACAAACCAAACAAGTTCAGCCTCGTTGGTACTGAAATGTCTGGCTGGAGGGCTGGTACCCTCATGATAGGATCAAACTGACTACCGCAATTCAAAAGGTTGGACCCTCAGGGGGCAGTGAGTTCAGGTGAACGAGGTGAAAATCACGTGGAAAAGGAAAGAAAGACGGTTCAACAACGTGGGGGTGCAATCAGTGTCACTAAATTGTACACGTACAAACTACGGAATTGGTGGTCAGTTTGGATATTCTCAGTAATAACAAGGAATAAAACACATTTTAAATCACTTTGAAACCACAAGGAAGCTGGCTCCACAACTATGGTCTAATTCACCTCACTACTCTGCCTCTGCTATACCGTGCATGTCTGTCTTCTGTCCCAACATTCAGAAGCATTATGGTTTTTGATAGCTGGATGCTTTTGCACCAGCAGTATGACCCAGGACAAATGATGTAAGTAAGCTCTCTTGAGAACTAATTTTCTTTTCTGTAAACTGGAGAGTCTAATATGCACAGATCTCTTAAAAGAACTGTCATAAATATTAAATTAAATGAGATAAAGTATGTCAAGAATCTGACACACAGCACACATGCAAAACGCTAGTTTGCAGCTGCTTCCAAAGCTGGTACCAACATGAGCAGACATGGATCCTTCACCACCCCATTAAAATCACGGCTTTCTCCTGAAGCCAGTCTTCTTCCTTCTCACTGTTCTATGACAGTAATCCTCTTTCTCCCCTGGGTTTCACGTTTGTATACATCATGCTGTACTTTAACTCTAGGTCAAGGTCATCAACCACACCGTCCATCTACTAACCAGATTTCCTGCATTCACACTTGCCATCCTCCAATTCATTCTTTAGGGCGCAGAGTCTTATTTCCACAGTCCAGACCTGCTCATAGAACTCCTCGTAAGTTCCCAATACTCCCCAAATAAAGTAGAAATTCCTTAATATGGCCGATAATGTGACACACAAGCACACACAGTTTTCTTAGTCAGCATCGACTATGGCAATGAATTTGGTAATATGTGTGTGTGTGTGTGCGCGTGCGCGTGAGTATACGCATGTGCGTCTGCAGCCTGTTTACCGCTCTAGGATCATCTCTCTCTATTCCCCTAGTACACATCACACTCGATTGGCAGGCACTCTGAACTGGCCAGCTCCTCTATTGTTGACAATGGCCAATACTCAGATATCGAAAATTCTTACTCTCTCTGTAAAGCCCTCAGCCATACTGTGAGCAATTTTGAAACACCTGGATCAAGATGCAGCAACAAAGGGCCTTCCGGTCACTGCCCACCCTCACCATGCTTCTGGAGGATCTCCTGAAGATCTAGCTTCGCAGCCGTCTCCGTTGTGCCTTCTTCATCCAAGATCTGGTCGGTATCTTCTTCTGTAGCAGAAGAGCCGACTGAGAGAAGGTGAAGTTTGGTTTCCAAATCTTGGGTCTCTGGCTTCAGGAAGGCAGCTGGACCATCAATGCCTATAGGTCCAAAAGAAAAAAGAGAGAGAGAAGTGCTGTTTGGCATTAAGACTGTGTTACTGTGGTTACTGACTCCTTCCACCGAGTTGGTTCCCGCTCAGCGGGACCCACTGCGATAGGGCAGACCTTGCCGCCACTGGGGCTTTGTGGTTGTGAGCTTTACAGAACCAACTGTCAGGTCTCTTCTCCCCTGAAGCCACTGGGAGGGCTCAAACCACCAACCTATTGCACCTATAAACCACCAGGGCTCCTTATTAAGACCGTAAGCCCCTCAAACAGGATGTTTTGGACTAATTCATTAGGCATCTAAAACCACAGTTCCAGAATGGATGTAACTTTGTACCAACCTGCACTGATTAAAACACTGCTATCACCCTAACTCAGAGAAGCACAGTAAGATTATTACAGGTGTGTGAAAGTACCTGGCTAACAATGCAAACACTGTCCTTTTGGCCCATTTGAGAATCCACTCCTCGATCTGTGAAAACTATCCCCGCCCCCTCCATGGAAGAAATGCCGCCTCAATACACACCATGTAGGATGGCATCGTTGCCAAGGGCATCAGGTTCCACTAATCGAGTTTGTTCCTCTCTGCCTCTTGGCCTGGAGTGGCAGAGCCTGACTTCTGCGTTTGGCTGGACCATGAGTAGCTCAAGGCGTTTTCTCCTCTGCTTCTTCTCCAGCAGTGCTCTCTTGAAAAACAGTAAGTGACGGGAACCCAGGAGGCAAGAGAATTTTGGGAATGATGAGGGCAACAAATGTATAGATGTGCTTTACACAATTGATCTATGTATTGTGATAAATTGTATGAGCCCCAATAAATTGATTAATTAAAAAAAAAAACAAAAACAGTAAGTGACATTGTAGACAGGAGAGTAACGACATGACCAAGGCCCGTAAAACATTTCCAGGTTGTTTTTCTCATCAAACCTCTGGTAAATTTCTTTTCTCCATTTAATAATTGGGAAAACTGGGGCATGGAGAGGAGCAAAGATTCATTCACTCCTTTAATAAGTATTTATTAAATACCTATATGAGTCTATTTAAAATCAAATAATATGATGCTGGCCATGCTAAGGTTATGACTCAGGTCTATTAAAAAAACCCACAGTAGTTACCATATTTTCCAAAACAAGTTTAGGGTATATGAACACTTACGTATTAGGGGTGAATGGAGGAGCACAGCGACAGTGTTCACCACATGGCAGAATATGGGGGATTATTTTCTTTTTCTAATTTTCTATGCTTTCCAGATTTTCTTACTTTTGTAAAGGAATAAAAAGTTTTATCCTCTAACACCAAATTATTTTCATGTTTTAATCAGCTAAAGAATAGTAAGTTTTGGCTTTTTTCTTATTTTACGTAACAGAAATTAAACAAATTAGGGCCCAGGATAAGAAGAAAGGAAATGGCAAATGGAACATTCCTAAAAGAAGGCAATCCATTCTGTGGGTTAAAAGCTAAGATTAACTATGTCACTCGAAGCAGGGAACCAATACAGAGCTCTGAGGGGGGAGCCCCAAGCCCAACTACCAGGACAGCCTCCTGACCCCACAGAATTCACTTCAGAGGACAACACTGAAGCTACAGCTCCGGAAAAGGGGCATGTCTGATCAGAGCACATGGGAGCAAACGAAGGGGGAGGAAGAGAGGGTGGAGCACATCTTGGTCCACCAAACCCTGAGGGTGATGATATCCCTGCTCAGAGCAGCCAATGCACAGAAAGGACCATAGGGCTGGCTCCACACAACGTCCCTCACTTACCCATAGCACTACGGGGGACAACACTGGAGACACAATGCGGGAATTGCACTTGATCTGACCCCACCACACTGAGACAAAACACTAAGGGCATTGCAACAGAACAGCAAGGGGGGCAAAACAATGAAGTCCCCAGGGAATACCAAAAATAGACTTTGGGGCCAGGGCATGGCACCCCTTCAGATTTGACCAGAAAACACTCCTAAAGGTCAACACAGACCCTGAACTATTTACAGGCTATTTACTATTTATGTTGTTGTTTTCTTTTGTTGCTTTGTTTTGCTGTCTTGTTTTTTGTGCATATTATTCTCTCTGTAGGTCTATCTAGAAAAGATAGGCTGAATAAACAATCTGGAGAAGAAAACAATGGGACCAAAGGTTCCGAGGGGACATGGGAGAGGGGGATGAGGGGGGATGGAAGTGGATGTTAACAAACCCAGGGACAAGGGAACAACAAGTGATCTAAAATCGATGGTGAGGAGGGAGTATGAGGCCTGGTAGGGCGATATCCGAGAGGAATTACTGAAACTCAAATGAAGGCTGAGCATGATAGTGGGACAAGAGGAAAGGAAAAGGAAACAGGAAAGAGCTAGGAGCCAAAGGGCATTTACAGAGGTCTAAATAAAGGCATGTACATATGTAAATATATTTATATACGAGGATGGGGAAATAGATCTATGTGCATATATTTATAGGTCTAGTATTAAGGTAGCAGATGGACATTGGGCCTCCACTCAAGTACTCCCTCAATGCAAGAACACTTTGTTCTATTAAACTGGCATTCCATGATGCTCACCTCCCCACTACGAGTGGGTATATAAGCAAATGTGGTGAAGAAAGCTGATGGTGCCTGGCAATCGAAAAATATAGCATCTGGGGTCTTAAAAGGCTTGAAGGTAAACAAGCGGCCATCTAGCTCAGAAGCAACAAAGCCCACATGGAAGAAGCACCCCAGCCTATGAGATCACTAGGTGTCGAAGTGATGAGGCATCAGGCATCAAAGAACAAAAAAATATTATCATTGTGAATGAGGGGGAGTGCAGAATGGGGACTCAAAGCCCATCTGTAGGCAACTGGACATCCCGTTATGGAAGGGTTGCGGGGAGAAGACGAGCCAGTCAGTGTGCAGTGTAGCAACGATGAAACACAACTTTCCTTTAGTTCCTAAATGCTTCCTTTCCCCCACCCCACCCCTGCCCCTGCCCCACTTTCATGATCCCAATTCCATCTTATAAATCTGGCTAGACTAGAGGATGTACACTGGTACGGACAGGAACTGGAAACACAGGGAATCCAGGACCGATGATCCCTCCAGGAGCAGTGGTGAGAGTGGCGATACTGGGAGGGTAAGGTAGAAAAGGGGAACCGATTACAGGGATCTACACATAACCTCCTCTCTGGGGAACGGACAACAGAAAAGTGGATGAAAGGAGACGACGGACAGTGTAAGTTATGGTGAAATAATTTATAAATTATCAAGGGTTCATGAGGGAGGGGAGAGAGGGGAAGGAGGGGGGCAATGAGGAGCTGTTGCTAGGGGCTTAAGTGGAGAGCAAATGTTTTGAGAATGATGAGGGCAACGAATGTACAAATGTGCTTTACACAATTGATGTATGTATAGATTGTGATGAGTTGTATGAGCCCCCAATAAAATGACAAAAAAACAAAAACTCACTGCCACAAAGTCAATTCTCTCACAGAGACTTTGCAAGACAAGGTACAGCTGCCCTTCTGTGGGTTTCCAAGGTTGAAACACTTTGCGTGAGTAGAAAGACTCATCTTTACCCCGTGCTTTCAATGTAAGCTCCTGGTTAGCAGCCCAACCCGTAACGACAATTGTGAAGATACTCACAATTATGTTACCAGAGTTCCTGATAAAAGGACAAGCAACCCTTTAGTTGTTGAATGCAAAATCGATTATCTGAAGTGTAAACCTTCCCCTAATTCACAATAAAAGCTGTTTTGTTTTTTTAAAGACAAGTAACCCAACTTAAACATGTTTTTAGGGTTTGAATAGACATTTCTCCCAAGCGATATGAAAAATGTCCATTAAATACATAAAAGATGTTCAACATCATCAAATACTACACCACATACCACTTCATATGCCCTAAAAGGACTCAAATTTAAAAAAAAATTAAACCATATAATACAAGTGTTAGCAAGTATATCATTGCATTGCGGGTGGGATGTAAAATAACGCAGCCATTTGGAAAACTGTCTGGCAGTTACCGTAAGACCCAAGTGTGAAGAGTGACAAATGACGTGGGTTGATGTCTGACCTCCAACAGCTGCACACAGGGAAGGGGATCAAATACCACACCAGCATCCGCCAAGGCAGGTTTCTGAGAGGCAAAGGTCGCCTGTTATCTCTCCCAAGGCACTCGTTGTTTCTCAGCTGGGTTCAATAATTCACTGCAGTGGCCACACAATACTCGGAGGATACTCATAATTACGGGCTGACAGGTATAATTCAGGTGAGAAATGCTCAGAATAAAGGTGTCCAGTCAGGACAGGCTCTGCCCTGTCCAGCAGTGGTCTCTGGTCCTCGGTCTTCTGTCCTGTCCTGCTTGGGCAGTGTTACGAAGATTTTTTTTAGAGCTGCCAGTAAATGCCCAGAAACATGCCACTCCTCCACAGGCCTCAATCTGAAGAGCAAGTTCTATCAAGCCTAGGCCCCTCAATTCCACAACTCCGACTCCAGTCTGAAAGCACTCAGCTTTATTTGCTGCATGAGCTGCCAAGTCCACTGCCGTTTCATGCTCTGGGCTCCTGCTGCTGCTGCTGTTTCTTGGATCTCTTGGTCCACAGGGCATACCCTCTACTCTGCTCTTCTCTCATCCCCGTACTGAGATGCTACCCCTTCCTTCTTCTGAGAAGGTTCATTTTATATCCAGCAGGATGGCAACGAAAATGAACCCTGTCACAATTGCTCACAGCTGAAACATACAAGCTGATCAGTGCTGCTCCCCGTTTCTTACTCAGACCTATCAGAAACAAGTAGTTTGGGGGGAGTAACGAACGTTATGGTTAGAAGAGCCATATTCAATCATTGACTGCACGGCGGGCACCCTTACATCACAGGGCAACATCCTTTCATTACAGTTGGTGTCGGTTTGCTGACCCAAGGAGCTGGACAGAGGCTTCCGGCAGAAGGCAGGGCCTCTGGGCATTTACTGGCTGCCTTCAAAGAGCTTCAGGCCACATAATTGAAAGGTCAAAGACCAGAGTGCCCTGCCTGCAGGCCCGACTGAGAAGAGGTTGTCCTGTCCTAACAAATGACTTGAGCTTTGGTAACCTGCTAATGTCTCGAAGAAATCCTGTAACCATGAGTACTGTCTGTGTGGCCATCGTCATGAATTACCACCTCAACTGAAAAGTTAGGGAATGGGGTTGGAGGGGCAGCTTGTGGCAGAACTGTTAGAAGGTGGTGCATATCTGACCACGTAGAAATCTGCCTCCACTAATGCTGAGGTCTGCTTTTCCTTCCCCCTTATCAAGTGTGAGGTGGTCAACTAACTGATGCCAACCCCTTTTCAGTTCTCCTTTCTCCACCCAACATTGCTAATCCTAGGGTTATTACCCACGGGGAGTGAAAAGACGTTCACACAAAAATCCTAGACACTATAAATATTCACAGCCACACAGTATTAGTGAAAAATTAGAAACATCTAAATGTCAACTAATGACTGACTAAATAAAATATGTGTACCCATACAATGGAATTTTATTCAACAATAAAAAGGAATAAATTATATACCGACATGTGCTACAACACGATGAACCTTAATATCATTACATTAGGTCAAAGAAACCATACACAAGACACATCTGGATACTCAGCATGGTTTTGTGAAAATTCCCTTACTCTTGTTAGGTAATCTCATTCTTTTCTTTTTTTCCTCAAAAGTTTTATTGGCACTTCATCCAC